CTGAGTTTTGACGATGAAGTTGCATGTGGAGACTTGGCTGTTGTGATGGCTTGACTAGTAATTTATAGAGAACAGCGAAGGAGCCTGTGCTGGTGCCACTCCACAGCATGAAGAACACTGCTTTTCATTGCACTGTCTGTGCTAACGGGCAGTGTTAGGGTGGTCTCCCATCTTCTCATTCTCCTGATGCTGTTGGATCTACCTCGATGCAAATCTGTAAGAACACACATCGTGCGATCAAGGCGTCTTAATTGTTTTTTACCTTATTTTTAGTGTGTGGACCAGATAAGTGATTCTATGGGAAACTGGCAAGAGAATACAGAAATGTTTTTTTCCAAACTCTTGGAACACCTTTTGTAAGGAGCAAGTGAGTGAAATCTTAGTTCCTGCAAATAACTGTTACTGTCCCTGCTATGCATTGCAGAGGTGAGCAGAGTTATCGGGTGATACATTCAATAAACGTGGAGCAAAATCTCATCTACAGTGGAAAATTTTGCATGTTGTTAGCACCTCTTCTAATATGAAGAGGTTTAGCAATGCTAAACTGTTAAAAGGATGTTGAAACTTCAGTGAGCTTTTATGGTGAAAATATTTTAGATGCACAATCAGATGAATCCAATTCTTCTTTAAACCTCTTGGTTTAAAACTGCAGAGCCATCTTCAGAGTGTCTTTCACTAATAAACAGTTCTCTGTAGCAGAGAAAAATCTCTAAATTATTACTTGCTATGTCATACTTGCTGACTTGTTTCCCCTATCACTTACATAGACCAGCAGGATAAACAGGCGCAGGAAATGGCTGGTAATTCTTCTACATCGTCGGAGGGCGATCTTAAGTGCCTGCTGCTGTGAAAAATACTCAGTTCACCTTTTTAAAGAAGATTTGACGACTCCTCCTGCTTTTTTTTTGTTACTTTTAAGCATAAAGGATAAGTTTTGCTTGTAACTCTGGATGGGGAGGTTTGGAATTACTTCAGAAAATTTCATTTTTACTTTGAACGCCCTTTCTCTCCTGTGTGATTGTGCTGGCATTTCTGTATCAAAAGGGTTGGACTGTCGGCAATTACCATGATCCTTGTCTTCATCTGAGCTTTGAATCCAGTGGATTATTGAATAGGCAAATAAAACCGGCTCGTTCAGGAAGATGAAACAAAGTATCTGACTGAATTTCTAATTTCATTAGAGGGAAGACTGAGACAGGTAAACATCAAGAGAATGAGATGAATGTATTTATGCTCAACCCCTAACATGACTGAATTTGCAGGAAGATCATCTGAGAGCAGCCCCCAGCCTTGCTGCAAGGCCCTTTACCTGCAATGCAGTGCTGTGCATCTGCAGCTAGGTGGTGGAGGCAAATCCCTCTTCTGTCTCACTCTTGCACAAAGCTTTGCTGCGTTCGAGAAGAACCAGCCCCTCCGCCTGCCGTTGATGTCCCCCTGCTTCCTGAACAGTGTGGCATCTGATTTTTAATGGCTCTTTCGAAAACTATTGGGCTGTCTTCGGGAATATCTTTATCAATGGGAGGCCGTGCTTCATGCAGGTAGGTTACCCTCTTTCATTTTTTTTGTCTCGTGAGTTTGCAGTTCTTCAGGCATAATAAGGACTTTTGGGAGGGTGTCTAGATGTGGATTCACACGAATTCCATAAAAGATCTATCATTTTGCCTTAGCATTGCTGTTCCACATTGTTTTTCCTTGAGTAAAATATTGGTATATAGTTGTAGAGAGACCCTGCAAATCCAGTTAATTCTTATGATTAATTAGCACATTGAGGGAGCAAAAGGAAAAGGTGATCAAGGGGGTCTCAAGTACAACAGAGGTGGCTATAAAAAAAAGTATCCTAGAACACTTGATTTTTTTATGTGTAAACCATGAACCATTTTTTATAGGCTCTTTGTATATTTTATCTGCATTTTGCAGTATTGCTGACAGCTGTTCCAGCTGTCATCTTTAAATACCAAGTATGGATTTTTCTGCTGTCTTTAGCAGCCTTTTGTGCCTTTTAGAGTACTGTCTGTGTGACAGAAGCAGTCAGATGAGGTTTGTGGTTTTGTGTATCAGTTTTTCTTTGGTATTAATACATATTCTGCACTGATTAAGTCTTTTAATCTGTATCTGCAGTTGTCGTGGTCACTTTGGGGGAAGAAGGTGATGGGATGTAATAACATCTAATGGATTTTTACAGGAAGGCAAAGGAATGAATGTGTTTTAGAGGTGATTTCATAAAGGAAATAGCACTGTAGAAATGTATGAATACATATGACCTGAATACGGCTCACTATCGCATTAGTTTGTATAATAGATTATAATACAGAAGTGAAATGCTTTTGGATCCCCAGGACAAACTCGGATGCAGACTACAGGGTGTGTCGTGTACGAGATTGTCAGCAGCATGATTTGTCAGCCCCTTCTTAGGAGGGGTGCAGAAAGCTTCCAAGAGAATGGGGTTTAGTGCTTCCAGTAACTTCTTCCTTGATGCATGAAATTACTATTATTGAAAAGCATTGGGACTGCAGAATGGCATGATGTTTCTGTCTGCATCAGTGGTTCTTAAGATGAATTTTCTTTTAAATCCGTTCTAATCCCCTACATCTTGCGCAGTTACAAAAGTGAAAATCTTGAAACAGCATTGGGGAGAATTACTCTTTACTACTTACGCTATGGGTGTGGCTACGGGGCTTAAATTTGCCTTTCTATCCAATTCTGCATTCTGGTTCTCTTTACCCTGTCTGTAGGATTTTTTTTTTTTATATATGAGCATCCAGTCTCTCCTTCAACGATTCTGTCCGTGGCCATTTCTTGCCTTTGCTACCTGCTCTTAATTTGGGGATAGTCTATGACTTTAGCTCAGCTGTCCCCAAAGGAATGCAGCATTTTTAAAGTAGCTTTTTGACCTCTAAGAGTTCTGCCCCACTCCCCCCTCCCCAGTTTCCTTCTTCCTACCCCCAACTTGTAATTCTGTGGCTTATGGGGCAAAAAGTCTGAATACTAAATATCTTAGGGCTGGATCAAGCTATGGGGTTGTTAATAAATGTCTCATTAGCCTGGCAGCAGTGGAGTAGACTGTGTCGCAGTCTTGTTTTATGGTTCGGGACCACTAATCTGTGTTACTTATCTGTTCCTGAATTAAAAAACCAGAAGGACTTACTAGCGCTGACAACAGACTGACAGTAAATGTCGGGTGGTTTGGTTGTGCCCGGGATGACCTTTGCAGCTCCTCTCTGCTTTAATGAACCTCAATTCCAAATTGTAAATGGCTACAAGTTTAGTCATGATCAGATTGGAACGCGATTTCTTCCTTTTTATGCTCCATAGATATTTAAGATGGCTGTAGTTTTAAGGTGTAGTAATGTATTTAATGTATGAAGTCTCAGCAGAGTGCATGTGTGGTATGTAAATGCTGAACATTCATTCTGCTTTATAACTACTCAAAATTGAAATATTCAATTTGTCCCATGGATTAAGATCAGTTAGTATGGCCATGATATGATGCACAGGACTCCAACTCAGTTATAACCTATAAAAACTGCATCCAAAAGCCCACATGCATTAGCATATCCACTGGCATAACCAGTGGTTGTCTCGGCAATTACTCCTTCTTTGAGCAAAATGAGTTGAATTTGAAATAGGGTGTTTGAAATAGGTGGTTATATCTGCTGCTTCACTGGGACAATATTTTCAGTACAAGAAACTTTGGCTAAGTCACACTGACAGGGAAGCTCATTGTCAAGAATGTTATCTCGTGCTTGTACATCATTGCTGTAAAGAAATTTGTGGCCCACCTCTTTGGACAACTCCGGCTGTTTTTTAATATCTCATACTTCTAAGAAAAGAAAGCTTAATGTTGATAGCCTGCAGTACTTTGCTATTAGATCTTGCCAATGCAAATGGGCTATAGGCATTGTTTTCATTATAAATGCTTGCTTTATACAAAAGGATATGAAGATTAAACTTTGTGGACATTTAACCATTCCCTGTAATGTTTTGTAAAAGTAAATAATTTACCTGTTTTAATATTACCATTTCATGAGCTGTTTGGCTGTAAGCAGTGTGCTGCCATGGAGGAGGAGTTGGGGCACAGGGGAGATGGCAATGTGTTTTAGCTTGCGGAACTCGAACACAGCTTAAATGTGTGAGAGCAATGAGGTGGCCTTTGCCAACATGATCTTCACAAGCAGGAACTTAGAGTAGCACATTTGGTGAAGAGTTGAACACAAAAAATTAATGTTTTTATTTATGAATGTAGGAGTGAAAAAACAAAAAGTACCACCTTGGTGCCTGATTTCAATCCCTCTGCAATCACAAGCTCTCAGAAGGGTTTACAGAACATCTGCTCTGCATACTCCCACTCTCTGTAGTTCAAACAACTGTAACAAACTTTAGACCTTCAGTGAAGAGACAAACTAGAAACACAGCCTACCACATGGGAACAGGAGCAATCAAGGGCAATATTAGGGATTTTAGAGTTCTAAAGTGTTAGAAGCAGAAGGATTGTTAAATGCTCATTTGATCTCGAAGGTGAAAAGGACAAAGGGCACAAGTTCTAAAACACTGGTTTAATTTTTTTTCCAAAGGAGTAAGAATTAATTAATGTTAGTCTTTAAAATAACGTTCATCAACATTTAAATCTTCAGGTTTTATATGAGGTGACATCTTAAAATACAAATTTGCTTTAGAAAAGTCCTCACTGAGTGAAAGGCTGAGAAGGGGTTCAAAGAGACTAACATTTTGGTAGGATCACAAGCTTTTAACTCACTATCTCGTCTGGCTTTTTCTTTGTTCCACTATAAAAGCAAATCTAGGGCATTAAGTTGTATTTCTCACTAGTATATGAAAAATTGTTTCTATCTACCTTGATACTAGCTTAGGAGTAAAAGCATTTAAATGTGAATTCTGAAGGCTGAATATTGCATCTCCTCCATTATCAGCAATCCCTCATGTGAAATGAAAGCTACTGAACTGAAGAGTAACGTGTGTGAGACATGCAGTGTGTTCTCTTTCAGACCCGACACTCAGCATCGGGGCCCTGCTGCTCATTCAGAGAATGATCTTCCAGAGCAAGAGGAAGAAATCCTGGGATCAGATGACGATGAACAAGAGGATCCAAATGATTACTGTAAAGGTGAGAACTTGTTTGTTTAAGATGCAGGATTTTCAGTGTAATCAAGAAATTCCCTCGATTTCCCATCTACTATAGAGAATGAAAATGGACTCCCTCTTATTTTAAGTGTTTTTTGAAACTGCGTGACGATAATAACATTTTTCAAGCTAACCTGAAATGGAGAAACTATTCTCCGAGATTCCCTGTGTTACCAGTCAAGATTTGAGTTGGAGAGCTGTTTTTAATGCATGTGTTTAAAGCTGTTAGCTTTTCCTCTGTGCCAGAGGGCTTTAAAAATTGGTAAAAGCAAGTAGGTATTCAATTTCTTTTTGACTTTCATTAGAAAAAGGACACTTTCAAATCTTCAAATCAGTTTCAGATTCTTCACAGTTTTCTTGTGAAGATCATATTAGTATCTGTGCTTCAGATACCTTTGTCTGCAAATACAGTCTTCTACTGTTTCTCTGAGTAGACACTAAATACAGAGCAAGTGGAAGTATCACGGTATATAGTTCAGTGTCAAAAGTGTCAGGCTTTTTTTAACTTAGCCAATACTTTAAAAAAGACAGAACACTGATCATACAAATTCAACTGATCAATTAGTTGAAGCTTGAGAGTGTGCCCCCACCTCCAAGCGCTTTGTAAGACTACTTCTGCAATACTTTTTATTTTATATATTGAATAAGGCAGAGGGAGAATCAATGCCATATATGTGTATAAAAAATGCAAAGTAGAAATAGCACAGGGAGCTTGAATTGCAATGTTTCTTACACTTCAGTGCTTGATTTGAAAGCATTTACATTACTTTTAGCATGCTACCCAAGTATTTGTGGGATTTTGTTGGTTGTAAACCAAGTGGGAAGAAGAAAGTCATTGTGTGAATTAGCGATCGGTGCAGCTGTTGTTGTTGTAACGGAAATCTTCAAGTGAAGAGAAGGGTCTTCTGCTTGAGCTAATGAAGTAATGGATAGCAATTCTATGTCTTTTTTGTGAACCAGTCAATCAAGAGAGATGAATCTTCCTGGCAAAGCATGCATTTCATGAGTGATATTTGCTGATCACAATTGAATAGTAAGCGCCTGGAATCTAGGGTGTAATTCCAAGTTCTGGCAAAGATCTATGCCTTAACAATTACAGATTCTTCTCTTCATTCTGTTTTCTGCCAGTTCCCTTGCTTCCTTTGTGTCTTTCTCTGGCCTTTCATGTCCTTGTTTCCATGATGGAGTCTTCCTGGATAGGGACAACTGAGAGATACCAGGGGTACAGGGACGAGACTTTCCTATTTTCAGTGGTGATGTTAAATGGCAAAATGCCTTTCAGTCAGGAAAGCAGTTGCAAAGAAAACTCTGTTGGGATCTTGGGTGCAGTACTTTTTCACGTTATGGTGATAGAGGATGCAAAAGCAATGCTGATGTTTAGCTGTCAGATTCTGTAACTGAACATCACAAGCTGTGTTTTCCACAGCCTAGCAGACTTCAGATGCTTTCACTGAGAAAATAATCTTTTGTGATGCTGCAGTGATGACCTACACTGAAAAGGAGGAAAAGTCAGGTCATTCTAGTTCAATTATATTAAAAAGACACTTCTCAATCAACTAGAGGGCTGTTCACAGCTCTTGCTCTAACATACTGTATATTTGTTCTAGAAAGATCCAATTAGAGAAACATTTGCATTTGTTTATATGATTAAAAATTTAAACACATCAAATAAGTCTGCCTCAAGTTGTGATGCTTGTTCCACATACCTGCCCTTCATCACTTGCATGATCTCTTGATATATAAACTTCCCACTGTTTTTCTAGGTGGTTATCACCTTGTGAAAATAGGAGATCTCTTTAATGGACGATACCATGTGATTCGGAAGCTTGGATGGGGCCACTTCTCCACTGTGTGGCTAGCTTGGGATATCCAGTAAGTCCTTCTGTTCTAGCTAGTGTTGCTGGTGGGAATGTACAGCATTGCACAAACATGATCAGAAAGCATCTTTTTACTTTTAGATAAAACCACAAAACGTAGCTGTCCACATTCTGACAAAAGTTTCTTTTGATATTGTGCATGCAGACAAAACGTAGCTGTCCACATTCTGACACAAAAGTTTCTTTTGATATTGTGCATGCAAGGGTGTGGGAGGGAATTAACAGGACAAACCATATGTGCGGAAAGAGTACTTTTGTGTTCAGCAGTCTCTGACCTATTATTTCATTTTATGAGAAATTACTAACATGGTTGTTGTATAAAAAGAGACTCAAACACAATCTCCATGAATGTTTAAACCTTATTTTTTACCATGATGCCTTAAATAAGTAGCTCTCTTATATGCAAAAGAATTAGGATGCTCCTGGAGAATAAGTTCTTTGCATGAGCATTAACAGTGTCCAATTTACTTACTGTGTGTGTAGAGGGAGGAGATTTGTGGCAATGAAGGTGGTGAAGAGTGCAGAGCACTACACAGAAACAGCATTGGATGAAATCAAGTTGCTAAAATCGGTGAGTGCTTTTGGGGTGTTCACTTTAGTCACATGCTTGATATTTCTGGATCATCTAGCTACAAAGAATTTGGATAGGAGCCTAACGGTAGTACAGTAGATCTGACTTCAAAATATATTCTCGCCTAGTCATTACCTCAAGGAACACAAAATTAATCCTCTCTTTCTCTGCAGGTCCGCAACAGTGATCCAAACGATCCAAGTAAAGAGAGAGTTGTTCAGTTATTAGATGACTTCAAGATTTCAGGAGTTAATGGTTCTCGTATCCTTTTGTGGAATAAAGGCAAAGAATTGCATAAAGATGGGAGTTTGCTGGGTAGTTGTCATGTCAGGGCTGGTGAGCGACGCCTAAGCATCCCTTTCACTGTCCAAGGAAACCTGCTGTAGAATCATCTGCCTCAAAACTGCCTGCTAAGCTGAGATCCAGAATGATCATTCAGCCTGACATAATGTGCATTAAGTCATGGAGACGGCACTGCTTAGTCATGCTTTTAACATGAGAGATGGGGTGGCTGCATCTTATTTGTGAATCAGGAATGAATGGCTTAGTGTCTGAGGTACCTTTGTGGTAAGAGAGCCCATCTATCTCAACCCCTCAATTTTGCAAGCAGCCTGGTAATAACCCCTTATTTAAGTAAAGCAGTACAAAATGTTAAGATCGGTAATGAAAAATAGCAAACACATGCAGTCTATAACTTGATAATGTGTTTTTTCTAGTTACGGAAGCATCTTACCTTGGACTTTATCAACATTGTTAGGATGTTTAAAGTGTATTGCTTTGAAAATCCCCTGTAGTTCTGTGAACAGCCTTCTAATAGGCAGTGATTTCTGGCAAGTCCTAATAATGCACCCTTAAAATTTGAAAATTGGACTTGCGTGCATGTTTCTGCTTTGTGGAACCTTGAATTTTATTTCAGAGAGAATTACGAGGCTGCTTGAGAGAATCGAGCTGTAGGTTATAAACGTTTTAACACTTTTAGAAAACAGTAGCCCCATAGTGTATTTCCTCTATTAACTTTTTTCCGGTACCTAGCACCGAGTAAATGTTGACTTGATCTTGTATTTCTTTCACTCTTGTGAAACACATGCATGCTTTCTGCCAGTGTAGAAGAAAAGCAGCCTAATAAACTCCTAGAATTTTGGCTTTTAAAGTAGAGGCACAATACTGAATATGTCACTGGAGTGATTGTAGCTGTTGAGATCTTATAGACAAAAAGCAGATAATGTAAATATTGTTGAAGTCCAGGCTTGTCAAAAGTTTGTTTTGCTGGTAAAGAGGCAAGGGAGGGCAGAGAAAGTAACTTAATTGTTCTGAAGATGACTTATGAAATGGAAATTTTATTATCTTTTCAGGTAATGCTGGTACAGAGAGATCTGGCAGTGAGTCTTGCCTGGGGCAAGAGCCTAGGCCGTTCCAAAACGTACATTGTTGGCTTGAAGCTGTCCCAATACTAGCAGGAAATACTAATACACGCATGCTTGTGTAACTGGCTTCCACCCAAAGCAGGAGATTGCTACTGCTGCATTAGGACCATTGTCCTAACCAACTCCATCCCGTTGTATTTTAGGTTTTAGATACAACATCGATGTGTAGGATAGGATGGTGCTGTTAAGGAAGGCAGCTTCTCTAAGCTGTGTCAGAAGGATGAGGGTTCTTTAATATAAAACACTTAACTGGTATGGATTTCTTTTGATCATCAGTCCTGGGAATTCAGGGCTCCTTGGGTCAGGATGTCCCATCTGTTTCCTTGACTGAGTTCCAGATATCTGTATGGTGTTTGAAGTTCTAGGGCATCATCTCCTGAAGTGGATCATCAAGTCAAATTATCAGGGGCTTCCACTCCCTTGCGTCAAAAAGATCATCAAACAGGTAAGTTCCAGTTCTTTCGGCACTGTTCCCCTTGACCCAGTGAGAATTCTTCCACTAATGTTTCTCAGAGCCAAGAAAACAAAAGTTAAAAATCAGTGGTGTATCTCTCATGCAACAAAATCATTCTTGGGTTAATATTTCCTTTCTCTACTGCAAAAGCCTTCTGCTACAGATAATTGTTTTCTGACACTTAAACCATGATGGGAGGCCGGCTTTGCTTTTAACCTTTTCTTACCCTGGTTATTCCTCACAAGTGCAAGTATTTCTTTTATTGAAACTCTGTCACAGTACGTACAGTGCTTAATGATGGGAAGAGCAAGAGAAACCTGTTCTTCCTACTGGATGGCTGCCTAAGAAGAAAAAACATCTTTCTACATGTGAGGTGGAGGGGAGGAGGGAAGCATGATTTTATTGTAGGGTATTAAGATTAGATTTTCAACTGTCGTAAGTTAAGTTATGAGGGTAAAGAGACAGCATTCTGAATTCATAGCTAAAATCTGTATGCAAATTTATATTTTCTGGAACTGAATAGTAACCACTGATCACAGTAGCTCTAATCTGGAGTATTCTCAAACACAGAAGTCCTTCAAGTTCATTGGTCATCCTAGGCAATTTTGCATTTTCACTTCATTCTCAATTTGCTCATTCTTTGCTTTTTCTAATGGTTGATTTCCTTCTCTCCTGTCTGCAGGTTCTTCAGGGTCTGGATTACTTGCACACAAAATGTCGAATCATTCATACAGATATTAAACCTGAGAACATTCTTCTGTGCGTTAATGACCAGTATATCCGCAGGCTGGCTGCAGAAGCGACAGAGTGGCAGAGATCTGGGGCTCCCCCACCATCTGGCTCTGCAGGTGCTTTTTTTTCCTGAGAATTGGTGCTATTTCCCCCCCACACCCCCAAGTCATAACTGATCTCACTAGGGAAAACTTCCTAATTGAGTAAAGTGGAACAGTAATGCAAGTAACCTCTGAAAAGCCAACTGTAAATTGTGAAGTTAGTCATAAGTTGCACACTCAAAGATGATCAGGAAGGCAGTGGTTTGTATAAGAAAAATGGTTGGAGGATACATGCATGCTGGCACCTGCTTTTAACAGCTAATCTGGCACTGCTAAAGTGGTAGGGCTGTCAGTCTTGTATAGCACACCCTGCATAAATGCTAATGCACTCAGAATAGTGCTGAGGTGAAAATGTGGTGAGATACTTCTCACATTTTCTTCAAAAGTTTATTTCCTTTCATTGCATGATGCTAGAAATGCATTTCATGAAGGTCTCAACAAGATGATTTACCTGTTGTCAGTTTGCAGAAGTCTTAAAAACTTGTGACAGAAACAGCTTCCTTGACACGCTAACATCCCTAAAGATGTGAGAGCAAATTTTGTCTTGTTCCCTTGTTCCTAGTTCCTTGTGTTCCTCCTCAGAATATCCATTTGTACCAGTGTGTAGTTTTCAAGAACTACTGCAGTGTGTATTGGAAGGCTCTGTCAGTCATAATCTTACAATACCAATGTTTAGCTGAGTCCATCATAGCATAGCTTAGCTCAAGGAAGCTCCCTTAACTTTGGTATTTTAATGTTTTGGTTTGCATTTTCTTTTCAGTAAGATGCATAATACATGCAGTAAATGAAGCTGCATGACAGGAAGTTTAGGTCTTTGATATCAGTCAAGCAAGTCTACTATCTGGAATTTTAATTATGCATTTACTCATTTAATGTTTTTCTCTTTTTTTTTTTATTCTTGCTGTACTTTTGTAGAGAAATGAGCCTTCAAAATAACATTTGCTGATATCTTTAAAATGTTGTTACCAAACCACATAGGAAAAAGCTTACCTTAAGATAAGAATGCAGTTGCAGTTTTTGACTATAAACATACTAATTTACTGATCTTCCTTTCCCTTTCAGTGAGCACTGCACCACAGCCAAAACCAGTAAGTGTAATAGCTTTCATGCATAAGTATCCATCTACTTACAGTATCTATTGCATTGTTGCATAATGCAGTCAGCATTAAGGGAAAGCAGCCTTACCATATCAGAAGGAAAAGTGTGATTTGTGTTTGTCATAGGCATAGGCATCAGGTTTAATGCTGTCTTGGAGATGTAAGTAGTGTTAGCTCATATATCACCAGAACGAGAAGTCTTTTTGGTGGTCTCAAGGTCTGTTGTGAAGGTGACTGTTTGTCTGTGGAGTCTGACATCTCTCATTTGGAGAATACTGTAGGTTTTGCAGGTCAGGACAGAAGTGTACTGATGAGAGCCATAGACAACTGCTCCAAAAACCTTAATACCTGCTTTTTATTTGGGAGAACAACTGTCTCGAGAGTTTTCATCCCAGACTGCTTCCTCAGCTCTAAAATAAATTAAAACTTGATGCGTTTCAGCTTTATTGAAATATGAAGTGCTAAGTCCAATTTCTCTGCATGCTTCTATGTAGGCTGACAAAATGTCAAAGAATAAAAAAAAGAAGTTGAAAAAGAAGCAGAAACGGCAGGCTGAGTTGTTAGAGAAGCGTATGCAAGAGATAGAGGAAATGGAGAAGGAAGCAAGCCCAGGGCAGACACAGCCTGAAGAGGAGGAAGAAGCTCAGAGCCCTCTGGAAATGCTCATAAAAGTTAGTCCACCAGAGGAGAACGTCAGCAAAAAGACAGGTACGGACCTAAAGTATTGCTAAAGTAGCACAGTGTTGTCCTTTCACTCATGCTGGCATGAGTAGAGTGAGCACCTTTAATAGAGGTGGCCATTGTTATTTAACCTGTTTGCATTGCATCTAAAGAAGTTAGGATGTTTCCTGTTACAAATTGAATTAATGAATGATTGTGTTCAGTTACATTTTGAGAACTACCTACTTCTGAGGGCTCCCTGAACAAGCTTCAGCTATTACTTGTTTCAACATACTGTGCTATCTTCTCCTTTTCCACTCTTCCAGCTGAAGTTGTTGTACAAGAGCAATCTATTCTAATGGAAAGCAGCGTGGAAAAATGTGTAACAGAAATAAATTGCAATGGAGTGATACAAATGACGGACTTCCCAGACTCCGGCAATCAAGGGTCTGTGCGACTTGAGGATGACCTGCATAATGCCAATAACTGTGGCGATCACCCTCACACACAGAAGGAGAACTTCCATAGTTGTAATTACAGTCAGCGTAACGGTGACTCGGAGAACAGGCCTCAAGAAGCAATGTCGGACTCGTTCGTGCCCTTAGTTTCAGAAGATTCCATGGTGTGTCAGCCCACATCCAACGAAGAGCGATCATTCAATGAGCAGGAGATTAACCATTTGCAAGAAAGCATCCGGACAGAGATACCTTCAGAGGACGAGAATGAGAATAATAGCCCGTCAGACAACAAAGGTATAAGAGGAACCCTGTGAGAAGGGGCTCCTTTTTCCTTGATGTGAGAGGGTTGTGTTACAACACTTCATCAGAGTATATATTGATAGAAGCCTCCATTTTGTAGGTAGAAGTGATCAGAACCACCTGATTGAGACTTTTCCTGCCAGGAGTAATTAACCTGACAGTCCTACCCTCAGACATTTGCTGTTTGTAGCTTCCAATTGTAGTTGTACCTTAGTTTTGACTATTGAAAGCATAAGTATTCGCACTTTTAAAAAGTACATTTGTTTTTCAGTATAGGAAGATTCCTTTTGTATCAGGTGTTGCTTATGTGATTTTTATTAATAGTTAGAAATGTAAGTCTACAAATTGTCACTGGCTGTTAAATTACGGGATAAGTACTGTTCAGTGTGTTCTGATAGTTTTGTTCTTAACATGGAACACCGGTAATTCCTCTCAGTTACTTGAGATGAGTAAATGTTTTCCCAGAACTGGAAATGCAGCCTGACTGAAAAAAAGCTTATACAGTGCAGGGAAAAAACCTCTTTAATGCTTTTGTTTAAATATGATTTGTTTCTGGGGAAAAAAACTAAGTCTTAGGAGAACATAAGAAACTGTAAAGTTTAGGAGAACATAAGGCACACAATAGTTTAAACGCATTCCAGGTGTGTGTGTGTGTTAAAAACTTGAACCAATTGATAAAAGTGTCCTTTTTTGCATCTTTGAGTCAAGGTCAGGTGAAGTATATCTGCTTGGAGAAGGAGGGAGAAACTAACATTTGTACTTCTCTTTAAAAAAATTTCTGTAGCATTTTCTTGACAGAGTAGTACTGGGGAGTTACATGGATGAAAAGTAGCAAATGAAATTTAAAGATGTTGAAACTTGAACTGCATTTAGTTGGATGCCCCTGCTAGATTACTAGGTGTATTTTGCTTCTCAGGGCTCTCTCCCAAATTGCTTTAGAGCTATAGCTGGATATAATTTAGTGACTTAATATTTTTGCTCTTCACTGTGTCACTGAAGTTTTCCCAATATATACTTTAGCTCTTGTAACTGTCTGTGTTGCAGCAGTGAGTGATGGGTATGTCAAAAAGATGCTATAATATGTGGAGTCTCCTTTTTCAAAGATTTAGGAAGACTTAAGGGTTGAGAGGCTTGTTTTGTTTCTGGCAATGCCCTTATTTAAAAAGCCTGGCTAGATATAGACAGACTTTTTAAGGCTGTGCAAAGAGTGCTGGGAAACAGTCGCCATTGCATATGCTTACTTGTCCTTCTGCTTTGTAACACTGGTCGGGTCTTAATGGTGGTAGCTCTGTTGTTCATAGTACAGACTGATGCTGATTTTTATACCTAGGCTTCGGGGAGGGAGAAGTTCTGATGACAGATGGTGACACTGTCCATGTAGCTTTAATCAGCTGTTGTACATGTTGCCTCTAGGAAAATCAACTGCTGGGAATTTCCTTCTTAATCCTCTTGAGCCCAAGAATGCAGATAAGCTCAAAGTGAAGATAGCTGACCTAGGAAATGCCTGCTGGGTGGTAAGTTTACAATCTTTTCATGTTGACTGTTTAAACCTGCTAATTCGTTCACAGTATGCCAAGATGGAAAAGAATCTGTAAAATAAATTCTGTCTCAGACCTGCTTGTGAAAGTGGTGACAGTTTGAAACTATGTTGGGGAAAAAAGAGGGGGGGGGAAGCAGGGACACAAAGAAATGGTCCTGTAACATAGGATTTCAGCCTGTGTTCTGGGTGCCTCTTTAGTCATTAGCTAACTTCTAATAGGCCTGTGAACAGTGTCACATAATGTGTAGAAATCTGCATATGTGAAACTTCTGAAGGAGTCTGTAGCTCTCCTGGAGAATGAGAAAGTTGCAAACAATTGCTCTGATGTGCTAGTTCTATAGTTTATTAGCTCGTCAAACCATTTCAGTGGATTCATGAGCACATGAAAGAGACTCATAAATAGTTTTATTCTTTGATGGTTGTGCTGTGCTGCTTTTAAATGTTTGACATTTCAAATAGAAGAAATGTCTATTTTACTTGGCTTCTTAAATGGCAAAATACTTCAGATCTTACGGGAGAGATGAGTCTCAAGCTAAGAACTGCACATCAGGCTTGCAGTGTCTGGCAAGGTGGGCTCTTACATTGGTGTTGCTTATTTGCTTTAAGGTAGCTGAATCATGGCCTGTCTGTCGTGATCGGGTAGGAGAGGGTGCAGCTTCTGAAACAGTCTTCCCTTATTCTATTTTTGTGGCTTGCTGTCCTCTAAATGGCGGGACTGTTTTACTTAAGGAGGAGTGTCTCATGTAGAGCATTTAAACAGTACTTGTAGGAATACAAGGAAATATTTAATGAGGATGTAAAATTCAGATGAAATGTAATGGGAATGAGCTTTGATCTGCTCTGGCCTTCCAGGTTGTTGATTCTCCTCTTTTAAACAGTCTCTAACTGTTTAGTAAAACATTTCTTCTATTTAGCACAAGCACTTCACTGAAGACATCCAGACAAGACAGTACCGATCCTTGGAGGTGTTGATAGGATCGGGGTATAACACCCCTGCTGACATCTGGAGCACGGCGTGTATGGTGAGTGGTGTCATCCGGGGGATTTTAAACTGTTTCTGTGGAGCATTCGGGGAAACCCGTGTGTGCTGTGCACTCTGGACTGCTGAGTCACTAGCCAAGCCTGGCAAAGAACCCTCACAGGTGTTCACCCAACTTCCAGACTTGCTGAATACTGTGTTTCCATACCAAAGTTGTTTCTTTTATTTTTTTTTGCCACGTGTGGCTTTCCTTTTGAAAGTTAGTTTTGTTGTACAGCGCTGTCAGATTTCAAATGTGATTGTACTTTGTCATCATGCTTTGTGGAAAAACGAGACTATGCAATTCTGAAGACAAAATTTTTTTATATAAAGAGCTTTTCTGCTGTATCCGGCACTATTTCACAGATGTCTTCAGTGTAATTTCATATTTTAATCATATGCATCCTGTGCATGTTTGGAATCATTTTATAATCTGAGTAATGCTGAGACGAGGCTGAAGCTGTTCCTGTAATAGCTGGCAAATGTAGAATATGGCGATTAAAAAAAAAAAAAAAAAAATCAGTCTAGTCAGTTACTGCATGTGCCTCTTTGGTGTCTCCGTTCTGTGTTTTCTACAAATCAAAGCTTGTTTTTTATATTTTAAGCTTGGAAAATAATGAGTGATACCACTTTCACTGTCTTGGAGAACAAGCTGTGATTTTGATGAATGTGGTAACAGAGAATGCGATAGGGTCGTGTTGTCTCTGCAGAACATGTGGCCAAAATTACACAGTGGTTACTCTGAGTGCCTAATTCAGTAGTTTGACAACAGCAGTCCATGAAGAAAACTAAGAATACAGAAGGTCAGAGGTACTGTTTTGAGTAAAAGTGAACACATAAAGGGTAAACGTGTCATGGAATTTAGGAGTGGTGAGTTGAAATGAATGCAAATGTTTTTCTCATTTAAAACATGTTTTCGTATCTACAGACAAATGTGCAGAGATTAATTGTTTGAAAAATGTCTCTTTAATATCTGAAATTTGGGGAGGAGGGATAATCTTTGTTTAAAAAAAAAAACTAGTTTGGACATGACATCATTTTGCAAAATGCTGTTGAGGCGGAAGAGAGGCTAAGCGTGTGAAATGCCTTAACTTTGTACAATTTCCCACAAGCATACTGCATTATGCTGTGATCCAGAATGCATCTGATATGCCTATGATGTTTTTTAATGCAGTCGTTCAAATGTTGCAAAGTAATTGCACATCTTAAGATGGTAATGGTGTACTAGAGTTTTGCAGGTTATTCTTCCCACCGCTTTGCTTCTGGCCCACAGAGATATGCAGAGTCAACCTGCAGCAGATCTAACTGTGTGTGAAGTGTATTAAAGTGATTTAATGTGCTCATTTCTGTTTGTTTAGGCTTTTGAGTTAGCAACAGGAGACTATCTGTTTGAGCCTCATTCTGGGGAAGATTACTCACGGGATGAAGGTGTGTTTGTCTAAGTATTTTTAAAATGGGACATGGAATACAATGGTTGCTTCTTCAGAATGAGCCTTCTCTTATGACTTAGCAATGCAAAGGCTCCTTGTAAAAAGATTGTTTTCCCCAAATCAGCACCAACTGTGCTCGAGCTCCTACAGTAAAACACCGTGCAGTAAAGTCCATGTTCTTGTTCTGGTGTTTCCCGTTCCTCTTACCGCTGGATTCTCTATATTGCTTCTCAAACTGATCATCCCTGAAATTGCCCTTACCTTTTTTTCCCCTTGCCCCTTGACTTTGTCATTGCTTAGTGTAATCTGATTTCAGGTGGTTCTCAAAGTAATTTTTAAGGGAGAGAATGTCTTTGTCCTTATATCCCAGAGAAGGAAGCTGGGGCATAGAGATGTCTTGTGTGGTTGTGTGTCATTGTCTTGTCTTTTGAAAAAATGCAGATCACATTGCATTGATCATAGAACTTCTGGGGAAAATACCTCGCAAGCTCATTTTGGCAGGAAAATATTCCAAGGAGTTTTTCACCAAAAAAGGTAAAAGGAAACAAAGCAAATGTCATTTATCCCCTCATCCCCTGCCCCAGATGTGCCTTGTTGGAAATACCAATTAACAATAGATGCTAGCAAAGATGCCTTTTTAAGTCTTTCCTTTGTTTTATGAAAGGCTTTTTCAGTAAAACTGCAGATAAACATAAGGCATTCTTGTCTAACTGCTAAAAGTATCCTACATCCTAGTACTTGACATCCTGGTGTAGATCAAATGCAGCAGGTAGAAAAACAGTACTGTAGACATTTCTTCAGACTTGATTTAGCTGGTCTTTATCAACTAGAGGTGTTGACTCACCTTTGAAGTCTTCTCTAGATAACTTTGTTCCATTTCTAGCGTGCCAGTCATCTAAATAGTGCCTTGCCATGTTGCTCAGGACACATTATTGTACCATTATCATAAAGCCCTAAGTACCCCAGAAATGTATTGAGTCTCAAGAAGTTGTTTTTGACCTAGTTTAATACTTTTTTTTAATAAAACGAACCCTTTTTTGTTAGTAGTGTATTGCTTCCTCACAGTGCTGCATGTATTGCATGTATTTCAAGGTCAATGGCACAGTGTTTATCTCTCATGTCAACTGGCATAATTGGTGATTTTATGAAGTTAAACAATAATTGCTGATTGGATCAGAAATAGGAAGAAAGAAGCCTTCAAGGAATTACATTTCTAGAACAGTCTTCAAAATCAGATAGAAAAGGGATTTTAGCATAATTTATTTCTTCCTTCAGCATGCCCTACCATTTTATACTCCCTATGCCCAACTATTCAGAACAGTTTCTGAATTCAGTCCGTCTTGTTTAGCTGTTCAGCCTATTATCAGGCTGCTCTGTTCCCATGTCTTGCACTTAACCTGTTTGTCTTGGTTTTCAGGTGATCTGAAGCACATCACCAAACTGAAGCCCTGGGGCCTTTTTGAAGTCTTGGTGGAAAAGTACGAGTGGTCCCAAGATGAGGCAGCTGCATTCACAGACTTCTTATTACCTATGTTGGAGCTGATCCCAGAGAAACGAGCTACAGCAGCAGAGTGTCTCAGGCACCCCTGGCTTAACTCATAGAGGCTTCAACCCAATGCCACAGCACTACACTCTGGTTTACAGCATAGCATACATGCAGCCAGCTGCCCCTTCCCAGATCCGTTTTTTTCCGTGTTCATTTTCAGTGTGAAGTTCTTCCTTCAAGGCTTCCAAGATTTTTAGAAATTCCAAGAATTTAGAAATCTAACCTGTTCTGCTGAGTTTGCTTGTGTGACTCAATGGGGACTCTCCTCAGCCAGTGGGTATCATCTGTGTTTTGCCTTGATTGGGCTTCGCCAAAGACTAATTGATGAGAATATGAAGTTTTTTTCTGAGTTTCCTCACTCTTAATCACAGTGTCCTACAGATGTGAGCTCACCTGTGCTCAGATATGCTCCCTTAGCTAAATTTCAACTCTCCTTTCTTCATGAGGGGGATGTGAAGATCCGAATGCCTCCTTATCTCACTGACTCAGGAGTCAATTTCCCGCTGTTCGTCCAGTAGCTAGCAATGGGGTGAGAAGTAACAGATGGCACCAAGGTGGTGTTGCTTTGTAGAGCAAAGACCTCCAAATCCTCCATTGTTGTCTAGATGTCTACTGTATTCTTTGCTTTCTGCTCGCATAACTTCTTTTTTTGTCCTAGCTGCTTATATCTTTTGAAAAGAGCTATTTAAACCTAGGTTTTAGTATCCTTTATTTCTTCATCCAAAGTGCCCTGTCCCTTTACTGTTTTCCTTCCCTGTGCCCAGATAGTCAGAATAGTTTCTGAACTCTGTGACCTTTTCTACTTTAATGCCTGCGACTAAAAGGTGACAAGCAAAATAAGCAAAAGCTGGAACTGACTCAGTGCACGCACAATCTTCAGCATGCAGATGGATGCACCCTTTGGCTGCAGAGAGGTAGCCTTGTTGCAGGCAACTCTTATAGTGAGCTGTAAGTTTTTTAGTTTTTATCCCTTACCGGCACTTTTTTGCCTTGCTTGAGGTGGTTGCTGTATCTGTGAGAGATGGCTTTCACTGATGCAATCTGCTCTGGCTCTTAATTTTTGACCATTCACTTTTCCCAAGAAAAGGGTATTGCAGCCATGCTATAGCCCTTGACTTTCAAAATCAACACTTGAAGGCCCAGAGTAAAGATTTCTTTTCCTTTAACTTGCTTCAGGTGCTGGCCTTCAGAAATAACTTCCCAGGATGGGACTGCCTTTTATTTTCTGGGCCATTAGCATAAGGAGAGCTAGCAGAAGTGGAAGAGAACTGACTTTTCCACGTAGATGCTGGATTAGAAGCTGTTTCTAGAGTTACCCCAAGTACAAATGTTCTGTGGGGTTTCTATATAGACTTCTCAGAGGGGGTTGGGTATAATGAGTAAATGGGTCAATTTTAATTAAAAGTTAAATCACTGTGGCATTTGATAGTTTTACGATGGCTTCTTCTAGACTTGCCCATCCTGTTACAGATTCATAAAGCAAGATTTGGCAGCGTTGAGACTTCAGAGGCACTTCCTTACCCTGGACCAAACAGGCCTTTGGATTCGTGGTGGCTCTCAGAGGATAGACGTTGCTGCAGGAGCGTGCTGGAGGCCACGCGGATGCTATCTGAGACGATTACGTTGCCAAAGCTGCCAAGACCACTGTTACGTGTCACTTTCGTATGTGTGTTTGGAAATCCTGGTTCGTAGGGATCGTTCATTCATAAACCTTGGTGTCATTTAATCCACTCGAAAAGAGTTTCTCCAGTCCAGTGCCTGATTGGGCTTATTAATGCAGATCATGCTGCATGTTCTTTTAGGGGTAGATCAGGTTCTCTATGCATATAATCTAAAATTAAAGGAAGGTAACATACCAAAAGAGTTTTAAACTGCTGATTCGCCTTTTTTTTTTTTCCTTTCATCTGGAGCTTTCCAGTTGCGTGTCACTTCCATATCTGTTACAGAAGGACTGCGGGCAGGACTGGGTTCCAAAATACCTACTGTCTACATACTGTGAAGATACATTGGCAGGGCAAACAATTTCTTGAAAGCTCACCCGGTCCTGTGTACTTGAGACTGGCTGATGAAAGAACTTTTCCTAGAAGGGGTCTGCACGCTTCCACTCCGAGAGTTCCTTCCCGTCCTTCCCTTCCCTCTGCCACCCCTGACTGGAGGAGGAGGTTTTTTTACCGCGATAGCCAAGGCTAGAGCCAGCTTGTGAGTTGAAGACCTGCAGAAGCAGCTGTCAGGATTCAGTCTTGTACCGTGTGCTCGTTCACTTGGGGTTTGTTAAATTTCCAAATTGCCGTAAAGTGCTCACACTAAAGGATTTGTACTTGCTGTGTCAGTCTAAAACCTGAAGGAAAATACATTTTTATTCTTTCTACTTGGGTGCTTTGTCTTTTTTTCTTTGTGAAAGCCGTACAATAAACAGATTATTTAATAACTGAGCCCTATTCCTCATGTTCCCTCTGTAAGTCTGTTCTTTCTGAGCTAGTGGCCCATTGATTTAATTTTCTTTGCTAGTGAGCACTTAGTTTTGATTTCCAGCATGAGATGCAGGGAGATGGTGCAGGTGAAGATTTGTTGCTGGTATTGTGATCCGTTTTAGAAGGGGGAGAAGAGTAGCCAATAGCAGGACAACTCTGCTGGAATTCTTCCATTCTAAAATATGTTGGAAACATATCTCTGCTGTCTTGCCCAGCAAAGAGTCTTAAAACCTTCCCAAGCACTTTTTTAGAGCGGAGCATAAAACTGGAAGGTGCTTGTTAGAACTGAATTGAAGTGACTGCTGCAGGGACCAACGAATTACAGCAAGTAGAAATGAAAATCATAATACAGGCTAATCTGGGGTTCTGACCAGGTAAGAGCTGGAGGGGATGATGTGCTGCTTTGTCTCCTACAGAAACGGACTGTGCTGAAGGCTGCCACGGGTGGGTGTTGGATGTGATGAGAAATGATGGCTAAATGGGATTAATCGGCAGGTTATGGTGGTGCAGCGAGTTGATGCTGACTGGCACCATCTGCTGCAGCTTGCAGGTACTGTTACAGGCCTGCTGCAGCCCAGCAGATTTCCCC